TCAAGCATTGTTGGTTAGTCAAAGAGTATTATAAATTAAATAAAAATTATTTTCTAAAAAGTGAAAAAATCCCATGTTAATTAAATGGAAAAAGTATTGTTATTTAGGCAGGGTTAAACGGCATCGTAAAATTTTTTTCTAGTTTCTAGAATTGTTTTTAGGTCAAAAAGAAACGATTTTGACGATACTTAAATGAAAAATTGAAAAATTGAAAAAAAATTGAAAACGGACACCCTAATATTGATGCCATAGTAGACTCAAGGGACAGTTCTCAAAAACTCGGATTTAAGATTCATAACCATTATCATAAAATAATATTTTTTAATTTCTCTTTCAATTCAATACTATATTATTTTCATGAAATTTAGGAAGAGAAATTATCGGTTAAAGTTCTTAAAAAAACATTTGTATCAAAATTAAATTCGACAAAAAAATTCTTAAAAAAGAATCCGAAGTTTTCTTTACATTCATTAGCAAAATTTTACAGTCTACCTAAGATCCACAAGCACAATGTCTACTTTGACCTATTATTTCTATCAAAAATAATCCTACCTATTTTTTAGCAAAAATCATATATGAAGAGCTTAAACCGATAATTTCTCTTCCTAAATTTCATGTAAATAATAGTTTTGAATTGAAAGAGAAATTAAGAAATATTATCTTACCAAACAATTCTGTCTTGCTTTCTCTTGATGTAACTCCACTTTTTACCAATGTTACTTGCGATTTTGTTGTGCAAAGTCTAGATAGAAGATACAACACTATAAAAAATAATTGTAAAATTTCTTTTTATGACATTGTCCATTGTACTAAGTTTCTTTTTGATAATACATTTTTTTCATTTAATAAAAAAATTTATCAACAAATAGAAGGTACACCTATGGAATCACTAATATCACCATTTTTCACAGATATTGTAATGGATAATATGGAGTCAGATTGTTTATATTTACTTCAAAAGAATTTTAATTGTAATCCTCATTTTTACTTTAGATACATATGTTGATGACACTCTCTTATGTTTTTACGAAGATCATGTTCAACTTGTTATTGATACTTTTAGTTCCTTTAATATTCATCTTAATTTCTCTCATGAATAAGAAGATAATAATAAAGTAAATTTCTTAGACATGACTCTAATTAAAAATAATAACCATCTTATTCCTGCTATGCAACAAGCCATGTAACCAACAAAAAAAACCATCTTATTATTAATTGGTACCAAAAACCAACTTCATCCAACAGATTAATAAATTGTGACTGCAATCATCTAATCCAATAAAAAAAGAATATTGTATACAATTTGTATGACAAGGCTATTTTGTTGTCTCACGAATCTTTTCACAAAGAAAATATTAAGAAAGTTAATGAAATTTTAAAAAACAATAATTATTCATAAGAATTTACCAAAAAATATATTTAAAAATCCGATCTTTCATTGTAAATTAAAAAATATGTAATAATATACAATCTAACAATACTTCTTCGATTTATCGTCGATTACTAAAAAATTTGTATTCCTTATGATAATAATTACTTTAAGTTATCTAATATTTTGAAAAAAAAATATAACTTATTATCTATTCCTATTGTTCAAAAGGTTTATATAATGTAAAGTTTGTCGTCTAAACAGTCAGTCTGACTAATCACTCATTGAAAAAATGTTCGTGATTTTTAATTTTTCGTCTGGTTTTATTTATTTTTATAATTAATTTTTTTTGAGTTTGACCAAGTGTTTATGTAATTTTATTATTCTGTAAATATCTTTGAATTTGTTAAAAAATTTATTTTTATATTATTTTCTTAAATTTTTACCGATGTACTATGTAAATTCATATATTCTATTATGTTAGCCCATATATTTTTCTCTTCGGAACAATGCATGTCATACTCCAGAAAGAAAGACAATGTTTCAAAAAATGTAAAAAAGCGAAAGTGACAACGCTTACGCATCAATTCGTCGAATAGTAAAAAAGGACACATGTGCAAAAGGGAAAAAACAGTTTTTTATCCAAATAATACCGAACCTTCGGATAATAAAGACCACCTGAGTTACTGTGAAACAAAAAAAAATATCCTGGAACACGTCAGCTAGTGCATAAAAAAGTCAACCCCAACACACAATGGTTCAACCCGAGAGTATTCATTTGGAAACCGACCGAAGTTGATTGTCCAGTAAATTAAAGTCAGAGAGTATTAATTTGGAAGCTGACCCAAGTACATCGTATTGTAAAGTAAAATAGTTGAGAGTATTCATTGGAAATCAAGTTTCAAACAGTAGAACTAACTTCGAAACAACGTGAGACACGGAATTCTCCAAAGAAACAATAAACTAGACCTCATTAGTGTAAACAATCGGCTCTACCCTTAAGAAGACCTACCAGCGACGTGACGCAAGCTTATCAATAACGTCCAGGAGTTCAACACCAGTTCAATCGTTATCTCTTTTTAAGTAAGATTTTTATAACTCATTCTGTTATTGTCAAGTCTTTCTTTCTTGGCTGATTTTCAAATAAATATCCTCTCACAAATTTAGTAGGCTCAATTACTTATCCTCATCCCAAATTAGATTCATTCATGAAACTAATTTAAAACGAGAAAACTAGGTCCTCAATCTACTTGATCAATCACATTTAAAACTGCAGAAATCAAACGCAAATGCATAGTATTGACTGTAGTTAACGGTCGCAAAATTTCAAAGAAACTACAACGCACTTAATTATTCAATTCATAAATAATAATGAAGAAGGATGTAGATCCGTTGAATACGTACCGAGATCTTGGCTGAAAAAAGTAAATGACAAATGGTATTGTTTCTTTCCCGATAAAAGAAATTATCGATTTATCGAAGAATTGTGTGAGCAGAGTAAAGAGCCAGAAGTAGAAAAATGGACAGAATATGAAGTAATGGTCTTAAAAGAAGCCCGTAAGTTGAAATATTTAAAAATACATGATATAATGATATTATTACAGCTCTTCGAACAGAGGATATTGCAAGTAGTACTCACAATCCAACTCACATTTTATCCAAATTTAAACGAGACAATAAAGAAACCAGCTATTTTACTATTTTCAAAATAATAACTACTTTTAAACATGTTTTTAACACTTTTTCGCTGTAACTTGTATCTAACTTGTAAATGAACGTTGGTACCTATATTTCTTTAATTGTAATCTAATTAACCCACAACTATGTTTTCATTTCGTCAGCATTATACAAGTCACATAAAAAAGTTCTTAAGATTGACATTTATAATTAAAAAATAAAAATTTTCATTCCTATTGAGGGACTTTAAAGACCCCGAAAGCACCAAGATACTTATTTTTAGAAAAAAATCAGAAAATTATGTACAAATTCATCAGCTATTTTTAATTATAAGTTTATATTCGTGATCAGCGACTACAATAGCTATAGACGGGTAAATTAGAAAATTTTATTAAAATTGTTGTTTGCAAAATATGATTGGCTTTTTTGAATTTTTACTTCAGATTCGAAATCTGTGACCTTAAAAACCCATAGATAGCAATAAAATATATAATTGGAAATTTTTTTTAAATTGTCGTCCGCAATATTGGACCTGAAAAACCCCTAGATAGCGATAGAGGGGTCGATAAATTTTTTTAAAATTGTCATCCGCCATTTTGAATTTTGGAATTCTGACTCCAATTTCGTAATCGGAAACCTAAAAACACCCCTAGATAGCGATAAATTTTTTTTTAATTGTCATCCCTTTCTTTTACTTTTTATAATTATAATAAATTTATCAAAATTTCAGAAAAAAATCTTAATTTTTTTTTCTTTTTATCTCGAACTTTTTTGCTAAAAATAGTAGGTATTAGAAAAAGAATATAATTTTTTTTTTCTTTTGCACTTGATTTTTGACTGAAAATAGTGTTAAAAAAATTTTTTTTTTAAATATGTATATTTCCAGATAGTTGAAAATTTAGGTGCGAGGTCCCCTTAATAAAACGTTTACAATGTTTCTTGAACAAGAAGTTAAGAAAGAAAATTTTGTAAACGTAAAATATTTGTTTCTGAGTAAAAACAGTTTTTTTCAAATTGTTTATGACAAACGTTGTGAACTTTACCTAGGTCATTTATAATGTGTTTTCGCTGTTAAATGCAAAATATTTCCAGACATCACAATAGTTAAAATTTTATTATTCACTTATGTTTTGTCATTATATTATTATGTAGGTTTTAATTAAATGAGTTCTTTTCAGGATTTTTCTTTTATTAAAATTAATTAAAATCAATTCAATCAGTCCTTTTCAGGACTTTTCTTTTATTAACAAGATTAAAAAATATTTTCAATAAGTCCTTTTCAGGAATTTTCTTTTATTGAAAATAATTAAAATAAATTTTAATGACAACTTTTAAAACGCTATTTTGAATTTTAAATTATAATCTTGAATTCGTATCAGCGACCTCAAAAACAACCAAGTAACAATATTCTGCTAAATAAAACGATTTATAAAAAAAAATTAATTAAAAAATAATGTTTTATGGAAAAAAATATATAGTTAAAATTTATTTCAACAAATTTTTATTCAATTGTACAATTTAAGAAAGAATATAATTTAAGTCTAAGGTTTTCGCTTGATTGCAAGGATTAACGTTTTTTTGTAATAAAAAACAAAAATAGAAATTAAATAAAATGTATTTGAATTTCAAGTGAAGGCTTCCAATACTTTTGGTAAATTTACTTGTTTTTTAAAATTTTTAATTAAACTCAATTAAATATAAATAACGAAAAGAGTAAAAAATTATCATAACAATAATTATATTATTATTAAGATTAGTTGTTTTTTAATATAATTTTCCATAAGAAGATTCAATTCCCTCACATTTTTCTAATTAATTAGTATTTCTATAATAATTAAATTTCAAATGTATTTTAAATATTGAAATAATTGTTTTTTATTATCAACTTCACGACGGACGAGTTTCAATTGTTATCGTTTAACTACGTGATTGTCAAAATCAGATACGCTGGCAACAAAAATTTTTATTTGTTTAAAATTAAAAATTCTAATAACTTCCTCAAAATATGCCAGCATTTAAAGGACAGGGGAAGACGCGCATTTCGAATTCGAAGAAACAAGACGAATCAGAAGAGAAGAAATCTTTAAGTCCTCGTCATAATCGTAAGCGTACGAGCATTTTACATCGCGTACAGTCACAAAATACAAATGAAGTAAACGATATTATTTATGGATTTCTAGGTAAGAAGCATTTTTTCAAAATATTAGTTTTTTCATCCATTAAAATTTAATCCAAAAAATGTAATAAAAAAATAAATTGTACATTAAATTAGGAAATTTAGCAGCAGTTCGTAACAATCAGCGTAACTCAAAATCAAAGCGATTTAAAGTTCCAGGAGTGAAAATTAAAAGGTTTTTATTTTTATCTAATACAGTTTTCTAAATTATTTTTCTCCATTAATGGAAAATTCTATGAAGCTAGATATTTTGAGAAATGGCAAAAAGGGTTATAAATAAAATATTTTAATTTTAAAAATAGACAAGGTCGAGTTCGGAAAAATACTAAATCAAAAAGTAACCAAAAAATAAGAAAACTCTCTTTTGCTCCTTCTGAATCGCATTCAAGATTAACTGATGACAGTTTCGTGACAGAGACAAGAAATTCAGAGACATCAAAATCAAGCTCGGTTTACAATGACAACGATTCGACGGCGAATGATTCTGATTTCGAAGAACCCGCAGATTCGAAAAAGGGAATCAAGAATCTAATGAGAAGAAAATCATTAGTGGAAATAATTAATAATTACATTAAAAATGGCATAAAAGAAGGTAATAATTTTATTCAACTTTTTTTTAATACAATTTTATTTATATTTAAACAATTTCTAACTACTTTTAAATTTTGGATGATTTAAATTTTAGATTTTTGATGAATAAATCGCATAAAAATATTTAAAATGTTTTTTGTAAATAAAACGATTTAGTTTATAAAATCAGTCATATTAAAAATTATAAATTAAAAATTTTATAATGCAATTAACTAATGGACAACTTTTAATTATTATCCACTTTTCTTGTATAAAAACATAAAACAATATTTTAAAGAACAGAAATATTATTTTTTTTAAATATTAAATATTAAAGAAATTAAAAAGAGATTTAAAAACTGTTCTAGATATGAAAAAGGAGAAACGCTACATAAAGGAAGCACTTTCTTTTGGAGTAAATGCAGGTTACCTCAGACCTCTTGATAACTCGGGTCATTTACTTGAAGTTTCGTCGGAATTGCCGGGCATTATGTTAAATGACATGAAAGATACTGTAACTGAACGGAGGCGTCGAAAGAATATGAGACGAGGCATTGTAAGTTTCGACGATTATATCATGAAATCGTCGAAGAAACGAGCATCCAAGAAAGAAACTGAAAAACGTCACAAGGAAACAAATACCAATGTTTTAAAAAAAAGGTCCATTTCAAATGTGAATCAATCGACTTCAAAAGTTGAAAACAAAAAAATTGAAAAAAAACCGCCACCAAAAAAGAGAGCTAAAATCGCTAGGCAATCAAGAAAACCGATGTAAGTTTAAAGTATATTTAAAATTTTCAAATCTTTAATAAACAATAAAAAAAAACTTTAGAAATATTTTAACAAAAAACAAAATCAATAAAATTAAATTAAAGTAATAAATTCAAATAAAGAATATTTAAAATGATATAATATAAAATAATAAGGTTGTTTACTATTTTCGTTCAACAAAATTTCCGGTTCTTTCCAGGCTTTGTCCTAATTTTTCCCGGTTTTTCTACACATCAAATTTTTTATTTGATTTCGAACATAAATAAATCTACAAATGGCTTCAAAATTTTCATTACAGTTTTTATGAATAATAAAATTCTTTTGGCGAGTTTCTTTAAATTTTTTAAAAATAATGTTTTTTTTAAATAATTTTAATTAAAATTTTGGAAAATAATTGAATTAAACGAAGAATTTTTTCAAATTTAAAAAAAACAATCTTATCTGTTCATAATTATAATTAAAAATTTGAATAATTCAATTTTAATTAAATGTATTGATACTAATTGAATTTATGCAAAGAATTTTACTATTTACAAAAATAATTGAATCCTTCCAAAGAATGTTATTATAAGAAAATAATTAAATGTTTGCGAAGAATTTTATTAAAATTTTAAAAAATAATTAAATTGTGGAGAACAATTTAATTATTTATAAAGATAATTGAAACTTTGAGAAGAATTTAAAAAAAATTTTAAACATAATTGAATTTCTGCGAAGAATTTTATTACTTTTGAAAATAATTAAATTGTTTCTTAGAATTTTATGTAAATTTATGAAAATAATTGAATTCTTATGAAGCATTGTTTTAAAAAATATTATTCAAAAGAATTTAGTAAATTTGACGATTTTTGCTATATATGGAAATAATTGAATTCTTGAGAAGAAATTTTTTACAGTTTCTAGAAATAATTGAATTCTTTCGACAAATTTTTTTTTTATTTTAATAAAATTTTTAAGAATAATTACATTTTTCGATGAATTCGATTAAAATTGTATTAAAAATAATTAAAGTTCTGCAATAAGTTTTACTATTTATGAAAATAATTGAATATATTGCGAAGAAATTTTTAAAAATAAAATTATAATTACGGTGACTAACATTCCTTGATTATTTTCGAAAAATTGAAATAAAATTCTTTGAAAGAATTTTATTATTTTTAATAGAATGTAAGGAAATTTCAATTATTTGAAAAAAATTCAATCACTTGTTTATAAAAATTCAATTATCTTGAAGCAACAGAATTGAAAAATTTCAAAAATCTTATTTTTCAGAATTTTCAAAAAAAAAAACTTCGCAAAAATTTAATTTTATGGAAAAATTTAAAGTGTGTATTTTTTTTTTAATTTTAACTAATAGAAATTTTAATTATTAATCTTCGCACTAAAAAACACGAATACATTAGAATGTGACTGCTTATAAAATTCAATATTATTTATCAATTATTAAATTAACTATATTTGAATCAGTTACTGATTTTTTACTATCAAATTAATTATTTTTAACTAACTCAAATTTAGAGAACAATATAAATATCTATAAAAATTGAAATAAAAAGCGATTTTTTAAAAACAAATTAAAATATTAAATCTTTTTTTAATTTGGTAAAAAATTCCCGGATTAGCATAAAATTCCTGGCTTATTCCCGGTATTTCCCAGTTAGTAGACACCCTGAATAATTATTAAAAATACACTCTGAAAAAATTATGTTTGAATCAAATACTCTATTGTGTTGAATAAATTTAATTTTTAGATTATTCTAAATAAAATTAGTTTAATCTAAATAAATATTTGTTTGATTATATTATTCAACAAAAATTTGGTTATTTCAAATAAATTTTTCTCTGAGTGTAATAGGAAAATAAAATAATTATTTAAAAAAAAATTTTTTTAAAAATTTTTAAATTATTTAAAAAATGTTTGTTGTATAATTATACAACAAACATTTTTTTATTAATATAAACATTTTTATATTATACCTAGAAAAATGGTGGCTACTGTACTTTTAATTCACAATTTATTTCAGGCGAAATTCAAAAAAAATGCGAAGACATCGAAGTCCAACACCATGGAGAAACTCGAATTTATGTGAAAAAGATGAGGAGTCACCAGTCGATAATGGAGAAAATGATCATGGTAATGGAGAAAATGATGATGAGAAAGAAAATGACAATAAAAATGATAACGATTCGAATAATTCTACAACAGATACAATTGAAAATAGAAAATCAGCTACAACGATTTTTAGAAAAGATGATTCAAAAAAGTATCATGAGAACCATAGCGAAAATGGCAGTAGAGATAATTTCTCAACGGAATTGCAGCATTCTAACGAAAGTAATCAAGAAGGACATAAGCAATAAAAATTTTCTTTACAAATTTTATATTATTTATTTAATTATTAAATTTTTGTAGTATTTTTATGTTTTTTATGGAATTTTAATAAATTATATTTTTAAATTCAAGTTTTTATTACTGTTTTGGAATTACGTTCTTCGCCTTTTCTTTGTCTTGATATTCTTTGTACGGTTCTACTTTTTCAGTTTTAAGTAGAAATTTTAATTGCTTCTTCAAAAAGTATTCACAATACTTTGGAGGCTTTAGTTTCTAACATACGGTACCTACTTTTGAAGTCTAATAAAGTTCCTTTTTATATTGATAAATAATCATTTTTAATTTTTTTTATAAATTTTGAAGTCCTTTGTTATGTACAATAATTGGTTAACCAACTATAAAATATACCATTTCCGTTGAAAATAAACAAATAAATTTTTCAATGACTAATATACTTTTTAAAACTAGAAATATTTATTCATTTGAAAGGTGGCATAACAAAAAGGATCAAAAGTAAATTTTATGATTTTACAGGAAGGCTATAAGCCAATTTTATAATTTTATAGTTAAGGAAAAATGTTGTCCAAAGTGAAATATACGAATTTTGAATTTTTTTAAATAAATTTCGCACGTAATTTTTGCTGTAAACTTTCTTTCAAAATTTGACCATTTTTCTGTACAAATTTTGTATAATATTCGTGTGAATTACTAACGAATTCTTTTAGTAGATTTTCTTAAATATGCTGCTAGGAATTCCAAAACAATTCTGCACGTAAATTTTGCTATACATTTTTTTCTTAAAAATTGAATTACTTTTCCAAACAAATATTGTGCAATATTCGTGTCAAATTAATGAATAATTTTTTTAGTTATTTTTTTAAAAATTCGAAAGAAATTCTGCACGTAAATTTTGCTGTAAATTTTTTTTGGAAATTGGAATATTTTTCTGTACGAGACTCAAAGAGTATTCGCGCGAATTGCTATCTAATCTTTTTAAAAAATCCCCCGGGAATTCGAAAGGAATTCCGCAAGTAAGTTCGAAAAAAATATCAAAAGTAACTTGTGCAGTAATTCAAGTAATGTTTGCTCTAAGCTTTTAAAAAAAATTTTTTATTACTTTTCTGTACGAATATTGTAAGGTTAAAAATTTTTGATAAGAATTCGAAAAGAATCCCTCACGTAATGTTTGCTCTGAATTGTTTTTTTAAATAGACCACTGGAGGAATTCTTTCTTAATACTTAGCGTAATTTTTTAAGAATTTATTTTAAAAAATTCGTTATTTTTAGCTCCGTTTGAAGCTTTGTAAAATAAAAACGCAATATGATAAAAATCTTTAAAAGGGCTCAAATGAAAGATTAAATAATCAACTTTAAGGCCTAGAATTGAAAGATAATTAATAATCAAGGAAAACCTATTTTTATAATGAGAACCTCAATGAGAACGTCAATGAGCTACCTCAAATATTTAAAATAGCTGGGATAGTGATATCATAGTAAAAATCGATTTGCATAATTGGATTTGCTTGGAATTTGTTATTTGGGGGTTTCTGAAGACGTTAACAACATATCAAAATTATATTTAAAAAATTAAAAATGGCGAATTTAATATGGCGTCTAAAGTGTAAAAAAATTACTAATTTTGAAAATTTTAAATCTGCTATTTTGAAATACTTAAATCTAACACTACATCAACATTTTTTTGTAACCCAGTTTAATTCCTCCTAATCCCCTCCAATCTTGTTTGTAATGTTTTTAATTCGAATTTACTTTACCAGTCCACCCAAGCATAGGTCAGCCTAGAGAGAAGAATTGCTTCATAGATCCACAATAGTGTATCCGGTTTAAGACCCCAGTTGCCACCAATGGCCCTTCTACATTGCTAAAGTGCAACTGTAAGTTTTTTGCACTTCTCCCCTAAGTGCTTTTCCAAAACAGTTTACTATCCAGGATTGCCACTAGATATTTTGGCTGCTCTGTAAATTAAAGCTCTTGTCTGGACAGCTTAAGGGGTCACAAGACTTTCTGCTTATACCATCTGGTATAGATTACTGCTTCTGTGTTTCCAGGATTTACAGAAAGTTCTACCTTCTTACACTATCTATTTAATACCTCTTGCGCCACCTCGAGTATCACATCAAGGTGGGGACCACGAAAAATTAACAAAATATCGTCTGCGTAGCCAATTGCATTGTACTTTGCCTCAATGAAGAGTCACAGTAGTTCATCCACTACCAAAGAGTAGCATCCCGCTCTTTACACATATTGACTTTTGTATAGCGGGTAACGCTTCAAGATCTCACTGCGGTTATATGTATTTATCACCTGTCTTTCAACTAATTTTAGGATATACGATGTAAGGCTAATAGGATAGAAATCATTTGGTAAGGTGTACCTGTTTTTGCCCGCTTTAAGTATAAATACAACTTTCGTACCCCTCCACGCTTTTGCGACATTTTCCAGAGACAGACTCGCCCTGGAAAACCTCACCAATGGTCCCACATCGTTTTCTATCTATAGCCCTTTGTAAAAGGAGAGGAAAAACCGGGAGACTTGTAAGGGCTGAAAGATTCCATGACCGATCTGACCCTATCGGCAGTCACGATCCTATTAGCCAACTGCCTTCGAAACCGATATTCAGCCTGTGGAAAGTTAATCCCACTGACTTTTAACTTTGCTTCTTATTAGGGCCTAAGCTCTGCTACGCATTGCATGATCTATGTATCAATTGGGTAAGACGCAATAAAGTTAAAGACTTCTCCTCTGCAGAAAGAGGCCTCAAACTTCGACCACCGATCAACCGGCTCCTTACAATGGCTTTCCTAAGAAGTAGGGCTTGCAATCCCACACTAACGTCAATCCCGCGGGACTAGAATGCGGGATAACTCTCAATCCTGCGGGATCCCGCAAAATTTTATGTTATTAGCTATATTCTAATTTTTTAATAATTATTAGAAAAAATTTTATTGAAACGTTTTATTTATTCAATTGAATACATTGTTACAATGACTTAGAACCAATTTGAAATCTAAATTTTTATTTAAAAATTTTTTTAAACTATTGAAATCCTATTTTCGAAGAAATTGTTATATAAGTTTGGCTATGTCTATAAAGAAATTTTTTATTATTCCACAATTTCACTTGTTAAACTAAGTTTGAATGTAAATTAAGTATTTTTAAATTAACATAAATTTTTCCATTAAATGGAAGTTTCTAATTTTCATTCTGAAAATAAGATTTTAACCCCTTGGTTGTCAACGAAAGAGGAACCGCAAAAAATGCCTGTTTTTTGCCCGTTTTTTGTACATCGACAATTATCACAAAACGTAAGTAAAAAAATTCGACCAAAAATCTTCTTAATCTGCGTGAAAATTGTAGTTGATCATAATTTTTGGTTTTTATTTAAGGGTAGCCAAACTCGTAATTCAACCCTCTAAAAATTGACAAATTATGAAATTCATACCACCATAAATTCAACAAAAATAATTAATTATTAACGGTAAAACTGATAAATAACGAAAATAAAAAATCCATTTCATAAAAAAACATTCTAAATTACCTAAACATCCTCAAAATGCTTTTCAACCCCCAAAAAACTACCCCTATTTGAAAAATTGACCAAAATAAACACAAAAAAATTATTACTCCGCAAAATCTTCACGAAAATTATAAATAAAATCAACTAACTAGTCAGACTTTAATTCCATGCTAGAGTTAATCAATCAACCCCAAAAAACTACCCCTTATTAAAAATTTTATTATATTCCACATTTAAAAAATTATTACTCCGCAAAATCTTGACGAAAATTATAAATAAAATCAACTAACCAGCAAGACTTTAATTCCATGGTAGAATTAATCAATCAACCCCCAAAAACTACCCCTAATTGAAAATTTTACTATATTATACATTTAAAAAATTTTTACTTCGCAAAATCTTAACAAAAATTATAAATAAAATCAACTAACTAGCCAGACTTTTATTCCATGGTAGAATTAATCAATCAACCCCCAAAAACTACCCCTAATTGAAATTTTACCATATAACACATTAAAAAAATTATTACTGCGCAAAATCTTGACGAAAATTATAAATAAAATCAACTGATCAGCCAGACTTTAATTCCATGGTACAATTAATCAATCAACCCCCAAAAACTACCCTTAATTGAAATTTTACCATATTACACATTTTAAAAATTATTACTGCGCAAGATCTTCACGAAAATTAGGAATAAAATCAACTAACTAGCCAAACTTTAATTCCATGCTACAGTTAATTAATCAACATCCAAAAACTACCCCTAATTGAAAATTTTACCATATTACACATTTAAAAAAATTTTACTCCGTAAAATCTTCACAAAAATAATAAATAAAATCAACTAACTAGCCAGAATTTAATTCCATGCTATAGAAGATCAATCAACCCCCAAAAACTACCCCTAATTGATAAATTGACCAAAATAAACAAAAAAAAATTATTACTTTCCAAAATCTTCATCAAAAATATAAATAAAATCAATTAACTAGTGAGACTTTTTTTTTTTTTTTTTTTTTTTTTTTTTTTTTTTTTTTTTTTTTTGCTTAGGGACTTTTGGGAAATCTGCCTACAGATACCTTGGATTCCGCACTCCAAGGTTATGTGGGGTTGGTACAATGAAACAAAAGGAAATATTAAAAAAAAAGATAAATACATAAATGTTATAATAAATTTAATAAACTGGCGACCTACTACCAGCCCGACCCACTAAAACCCGTAACCCTTCTTCTGGAGCCCTTTACCCTCCCTCGGAACTGTCGTAAGACTTTAGCCTTCGAGGGTGGCGCTCCAACTCTGTCGCTAATGCGACCTTCTCCCTTTCTCTGCGGTCCTCCTGCGTTCGTAGTTAAAAAAATGATTAAAACTATTACAAAGTCCAAGCGGAATTCACAGCACAAAAATAATAAAAAAACAAATATTTTAAGAAGTGTAAAAAGTCAAAAGATAAAATTGTAAACGGATA